TTGTGCTGTCCTGTGTACAGGCAGAGGCCTTGCGACGGGCCGATCCCTCGTCTAAGGAGTCCTACCGAATGTCTATAGATCAAGCCAATGAGAAGTTGGGACCCGCAGTGCTCAGGCACTTGAAGAATGGGTCGTTCCCAGTACCCAGTACTTCAACTCGACACTCATTACTGAAATGGACTGGCGGGAAACGCTACCAGCTAGGCCGAAGACCCCAAGAGTTGCCTCGCACATACAAAGTAGCCTGCAGTAAGTACATAATAATGCAGCAGTAGAAGATGGAATTAATTTGCACTGCGCGTGCTCAGCATCAACGCAATGTCTCGCGGGGGCTCTTAAGTCCAAACAGAAGGCGAAGAAAATTATCTTTATGCTCAATTATCACACGATGAAGGCATATAAGGGGCATGGAGGTAAAAATCATCGCCCTGATGACAGAGGCAGTATGACCTCTGAAACGCTGGTTAACATCGACCAGACTACACAGCGCAACCCAGAAGACAGAAATCTTCATACTCTGATGACGGAGGCAGTATGACCTCTGAAACGCTGGTTAACATCGACCAGACTACACAGCGCAACCCAGAAGACAGAAATCTTCATACTCTGATGACGGAGGCAGTATGACCTCTGAAACGCTGGTTAACATCGACCAGACTACACAGCGCAACCCAGAAGACAGAAATCTTCATACTCTGATGACGGAGGCAGTATGACCTCTGAAACGCTGGTTAACATCGACCAGACTACACAGCGCAACCCAGAAGACAGAAATCTTCATACTCTGATGACGGAGGCAGTATGACCTCTGAAACGCTGGTTAACATCGACCAGACTACACAGCGCAACCCAGAAGACAGAAATCTTCACGAATATTATAATTAATGACAAAAGTAACAACTATGGAGATAATCGAAACCAAAACGGTTCTGACATATGCGGTTCGAACCTTCAGCAGGGCCACCAGGTCTTGACTTAGGCACCTCTAAGCAAATGTTGCTTGGTCTCTATCTAATCCTACCCACGCCACGTCACACATGCCATTGTCTCATGTTTCTGCTGCTAAATAACCTCAGCATCTTAAATTGCATCATTAGGCAGCTTAAGAACTAACCGTGTTCAACGCGGGGGCCTCACCACAGCTCCAGACATTTCATTGTACGGTCGATAAAATAGAAAGCCACTTATGTGTCCATATACTAGCACGTTTTTACCAGAGATCAAGGTTTTAACCTTTGGCGTGGTCTGGCTAGAGCATAATTCGCAGAAAGCCTTGAATAAAGTAATGTAACACTTAAGTTAAAAGGCCCTGTCGTGGTACAATTTGCTATGTGGGTTAACAGATACGCAGATATCAAGTAACGAAATATATTTATAAGATCGGAAAAGTGGACAACGTCTTAAAAGTGTAATACTATCCCAGCATTCACATGGAAGAAACCCATTTATAAATCATAATCAGGATATCCGGTCTTTGGATCGAGAACAAAACCCCGAAAATGTAGTGACGTCCACTCAATGGCGACACTCCGCAAATTCAATTTATTTAACAAGAAATCTTACACGGCCAAATTAATTTCAAACATGTCACTTCAAGATTCTAGGAGCAAATTGACACACACAGTTCAGAGGTGTAAAAGAATAAAAAAAATCCATGTATGTACAATCTCCATCTCTGAACAGATTCGTTTCCAACTGACAGCATCCATTGGACTTAGCTGAAAGCGTGAGGCTACAAGGACCGACGAGCTGCGTATCTTACGATGTAAATTAATGGCTTCTAAATATTCTTTTTTACATAACTTTTACAAAAAAATATGCATCATTTCAATGCTCGTGGTATTTTCCGGAATCATAACTACCAAGCCTGCTGAGTGGCCGTGGCCGATTGTAATACAAAAAGTTTCAACCGCTGGCAATCCAACAGACGATACCTTTAGACAATGAAAAATACGATGTTCTCACTAGCTACTTTTTGCGAAGGGCCATACAATATGACTTGGTGGCAAATGTGAGCACTTAAAAAAAGTGAACGCATGATTTATGGAAAGAATGCATTAAAATTAAACAAAATTAAAAGCTACATTCACGAAGCAAAATTTAAAGCATTGTTGGAAGTATGATTTGAGATTTTCACGGCGGGGAGTCTGAAGATGGCTGTCTTCTGGTAGAAGTTTACGGACGCATCGCCCTGATAATGGAGGCAGCAAGGACCTCTGAAACGTCTGTAAACTTCTACCAGACTACACGGCGCAACAACCCAGAAGAGAGTCATCTCTATTGTTGGAAGGTCTGAGTATTTATTCTCCAAAGCCACTTCAAAGTTGTTTAATGAAATTTGGTAATTAAAAGCCAAAGTTGCTCCATGCGTTTCATTTTCGTTCCACTGGCCCACTGAAGCTCTTATACTCCAAATCGGAAGAAATTCTAATCATATCTGTATTCTACGTCTGGGTTCCAACTTTTGAGGAATAGTAAAGTTCGAATTTATTTTCAAGTAAAGTCGGAGTTATAGAGATCTTAAAGTAGACATCCCAGAACCAAATATTATCAACATCCATGAAGCGGTTTTGGAGTTAAAACATGGACATGAACGAACATTTCACGCACTGCTTGTTATTTGCGGAAGCATTTCCGGGCCTTCTTTACTCAGAGCATTTCCGGTCTTCTGACTCAGACTGATGTTCTACAACCCCTACGTCATTAAGGCACAACATTCCGGGATATCCTGTACAGGTAAATTCCTAGACATTTATGTCGTTAAAAGTCAGGGTGTAGGACCGCTTATATCCTCACCTTGAGGGCGCAGAAGATGCAGGACTCCGCCATGCACGCATGTCCAGACAGCTCTCGGAAACTGCGTCGGAAGATATCGAGATGCCACAGCACCTGTTAGCAACAAAAAACATTGTTAATTAACTCCATTCCTCGGAAGAGTTGACGCTTCAGTGATTACAGAGGCACGTTCTGGCTTCTAGTATTCAACTGTCACTCTCAAATCTCTTGTTCAAAGGCGTACATCGACACACATTTCAGATGTTTTTGAACACTGTTCCGTTTTAGATTGTCGGTCGGAAGCGACTCAATAGGAGACGTTGGAAGTATTACAACTCGGACGTTTTATCAAACGGAAATGTTTTGTATCGTCAAATGTGAATTAAAGACAACAAATTGGCGTGAAAACAAGTAACCATAACCTACTTCGAAAGAAATCATAAATGGAGGGGACATTCGGACAATAATCGATATTCGAATCTCGATTTCGATGTGTAGGCCTACTGCTCGATATGGATTATTATTATTATTATTTAGTGTTCTGTCTGACGACAGGTCCATATGAACAGGATCCTTCCATCCTTTTCTCGGACTGGGACCTGTTCATACACGTTCTTGGCAGATGATCCAGAAGTGGTTTGCCATTGCCTTCTTCTGTGTGTGAATGGAGTAATTGTTTAAGTGAAAGGAGACTGGGGAAAAATCCATAACGAAGAGCTTCATTATGGATGGAAAAATGAGAAGTTGGAGAGGTTTGAAAAGAGACCGCTATAAACCCGCAGACGTAGATCGGAAGTCAATATTATAATGGAACCGGGTGTGAGGATACGGAATGCAGTCAAGCTGAAAATGGGAAACGGCGATGGGTTCTTGTGGACAATGTAAAGAGCCTTCGTGTTCCATATGAGGATAGGGGATTCAAGCTAAAAAAATCATCACCACCATCGTCCGTCATCGTCTTCAACTCTTATCCAAACCTGAGGTGTAAATATACAACACACGAAAGAATGATATTTGCAGGACTGTATATTCAACCCGATGGATACAGAACAGTAATTATGAGAAGTGCCAAGGAAGAATACTTTGAGGATTACGAGGAAGACGATGATGAATAATCAGCAGCAGCGTCAGTGTGAACGCAGCTCAGTTATGTTCAAAATCCACATTTGAAGCAAAACATTCTCTCGCCTGCCAACCACAAATATTTATTTCAATAAAACTGGATAAGAGTGCCTCAAAAATCACAGCATCGTCCAGTAAAATCTAGTTCCTCGTTATCCAATGAAGAAAAGTTATGCTAAAAAGGAAAAAGAGAGAAAGACAAACCTGGTGCAAGAACAAAAGATGAAAAAAAACCTGAACAGAAGATTAAGAGAAGTAGAGGAGAAGAATATGAAACAGAACTGGGGACGCGATAAAAAATAAAGCTTTATAAAAGAAGAGGATGGTTACAAAGACGAGAAAATAAAACAATTATAGGAACAAAAGTTGTCAGTGGAACCACGGTTCCGGAGAATTTGACGTAAATACGTCCATACGGAAAGGAAGTTTACATATTGGCTTTATTCTAAATATTTCCTTTATACATGCTTTACAATTGAGTAAAGTTTGATTAAGACATTGCTTAATCAACTTGAATTAGTTACACTTAAGATGGGTCTGTGGTAGATGAATGTAATGTAATGTAATGTAAGGTAAGGTAAGGTAAGGTAAGGTAAGGTAAGGTAAGGTAAGGTAAGGTAATGTAATGCAATGTTTTATAGGTAACAACAATGCCGAGTAAACACGACGTTTCCTAGGTAACGAGGTTACACTTTTTCGTTTCCCTTTTTTGCCGAATGACCCTTCAATATAGACGTATTTACGTCAAAAACAAAAAGAGTGAGAACAATGCTGTAATGATAATAGAAGATTAAAAAGCGAAGGCGAAAGAAGAGGGCAAGAAAAATAACGAAGGACAAGATGAGAAATAGAAGTAGAGATGACACACAACATAGGGCAGTCTGCATGAAACTGAAATTATTCGGGTGATATTACTTCCTTACTTCAGTAACCTCAAACGCTCGTCTTTCGTTTACGGTAACTGATTTAATTCTTACGTTTCAGCGTACAGCTCGTACAAAATCCTTGCGATATGAACGGACGGACTGTATTCATTTGCGAAATGCAAAAAATGTAAAAGAGCTGCAGTTCGTCGTTGTTGCTCGGTGCCTTCAGTCTTGCAGCGAATGTGAAACACAACCGCAGGTTGGGTTATGTGCTGACACGGGTCTCTGATGGGACACAGCGGTTGTCTCGCCTGCGTGCCAGAAACGAGACGATATGGTGGGTCAGCAGCCCAAGATCGGGATTATGTTTCGGAAGAAGAGGATTTTTTCAGAGTTTTATTACACTCACAATCAACAGTGATGTTAATACGAAGATAGCCAGCCCTTTCATTACTATCGGTTTTAAAAACGATCGTAGGGCTTATAAAAAAAAAGATAGTTACAAATCAGAAACAGTTCAGGAGAGAAGTGGACGCAGATAAATGAGAAATGGACCTTGTTTACATCCTTGATATATTAACAAGGCTTTGTTTGCTGCAGAGTTTACAAGTGTAGAATCGAATAACATGCCTATGAGCGATGGATATGGAAGGAAGTGACCACGATACCTCAACATCTGCGTAGAAATCCATCTTTTATGGACAGCAAGAAAGGGAACTGGCCAAGATACAAACCGAGTGCCTTCCCAATAAGTTTAAGCAACAAGAATAAAAACCACTAACTCGCGACTGTCGACGAGAGGTGCTCGGGATGAGGGTCATTTCCGTTTCCAGACACGGAAGGCGTACGCCACGAAGGTTCCCGGCAAATAATGCCAGACCTTGAAACCAAGATGAGATGCAAAGAACAAAAGTAACAAGACTGACAAGAAGTCGGTATACGAACTGCAAAGAATCAATGGTGTCAGAATATCTGACTGAAGTAGGCGTACCAATTAGATACTACATCCGGTGCTTCGAGCACGCAACAGTAGACCTATGGGATTCCGAAATGGTCTTCACCATCAAGTAGCATTAAAGTTGGGTACCATACTAATATAGCCACGGTGGTCTAGCGGTTAGAACGCTGACCTTGTAATCCTGGGGTCCCGGGCTCGATTCCCGGCTGTGCCCGAATTTATAACTTGTGTTGGGCAAGGCCGTGGTCTAGGCAACACGGAGTTTTCCTCCGGGGGCTTCCCCGGTTTCTCCGTGGCATCCCAACAATTACTCCATTCACACACAGAAGAAGGCAATGGCAAACCACTTCTGGATCATCTGCCAAGAACGTATATGAACAGATCCCAGTCAAGGATGGAAGGATCCTGTTCATATGGACCTGTCGTCAGACAGAACACTAAATAAATAAATAACATACTAATCTACGCCTGCCAATTTCTGTTTAAAAGCGCTGAAAACTGAAACAGCTAGGGGTGGTTTTCCTTCAGTGTTCTTTAACGGTCATAGTTATTCGTGATATTCCTCAGTCCCTCCACGTAAGTGTCGAGATCACGCCTTAAACCATACTAAGACCGTGTCCCTAACACATCTCCGTTCAAACGATCATGTCACTTTGTAAGATTTGAGGTTTTCAGATCATGTCACTTCCCCAACTGACGCTTGTAGCAGCATCTTCAGTCCTGAGGATGGAGGCAGTATGTTTCTCAGAAACGTGGACACTAACAAAATTTCCACAACCCAGAAGACCAACATCGACTTCTTCACCGACGCGAGAACTCGTGTGTAACCTCTGCAAATACGATTTAACAACCTCGTTGAGAACCCCCAGACATTCTGCAATCTGCTTAACGCATTTGACATAGGAGGTTCTTATTATTTTAGACATTAAAGTCTTATCAAACTTTCGGCCCCTCTATTACACAGGTTTTCCAATTTATATTCAAAAACTTGGACAATTCGGGCGGAGGACCAGCTCCGGTGAATGGTTTTGAAGGACTTTGTGCATCTGTCAATAAAACGCCTACACAGCTTCATGAAGCCAAACAGGGCTAGCTCCCTGAATGCCCGTGACAGACATCAGGGCCATAAAGCTGTCTCACTATACGCCATGTAGGCGCTTGGGAAGGGGGGTTTATAGCTGGGGGTGATTGGTCAGCATCACGCCTCGACCGCCAGGGTCATACTGTACATTATCCATTGTGTGTTGTATTTAATACACGGTGTTATTCCACGGTACCAAAAGATTCGTTTACTTTCAAGAGGCACAGATAGAACCACGAAACTTAACTTTATTCTGATTACACTTCCGTTAAAAGGCCCACCACAAACACGACATCAAACCCAAAATTGCTTATCAAAACCATAACGAACAGCTTACAAAGCATTACGATGCAAATTAAATTATACTTTTTTGGGTTGTACAAAACTATTATTAAGTATGACTGCGGTTCTCTGAGTGGATAATACGAAGATGGCCGTGTTCTGATTTGTATCGCTGTGTAGTCGCCCTGATGACAGAGGCAGTATGACCTCTGAAACGTTGGTTAATATCGACCATACTACACAGCGCAACAATCCAGAAGACGGAAATCTTCAACATTATTATTTGCTTCAGAATGTGACAGATCACAAATATGTACATACAAATCAAGTGTGGATGTACCGAGGAAACTAGTAATGTGCTAAAATCACATATATGAACTTGTGGGAATATAAACTACTGTAAAAGAAGTGGGCTTTGTTGTACACCCTAACTAAACACCAATAATTGCTTTAAATTAATTGAAACAACCGAGATTAAAAAATACCAGTTTTTCTTTCAAAGAAGCACACAGACTAAAACAGGTACTAGACGATAGCTTAATCATTTTTATACGGAGATTTCTCATTACTGCCTACCATACTAGACACGGATTTAGATTAAAAAAGGGCGAGTGGAAAATCACGCAACTCATCTGTCAAAACAAAAATAAAACATAGGCCAATACATCCAGCCGCTGAAAACGAATCACACACTACAGCTGCTGTCATTGCAATGCACTGATACCAAAGAAACTGATCTGGAACCTGATTAAATACAGGTGATGTATCCCTTATTTCCATGTTCACTGCGATGTATCCTAGCAAC